TGTTAAGTGTATTAAGTTCCAAAATCCTCTATGGAGAGATCTTAGCCAATGTGAAACAGTAAATTCCCCTTAGTTTGGTTAAGTAATTTTGCAAACCTGAGATTAAAAAATAAATCAAACTTAACCTTTTATATTGAGTTTAGGTAAAAGTATCATTGTAGCTCTGAAAACTTTTTAAAAAATCTTTTGAAGGCTTTTGAAATCCTTAAGTGAATAAGATATATAAAAGTAATTGTGGAGCACATCTGTAATCCAGCAATTTGGCAGGCTGAGATAGGAGGCTCACGAGTTCAAGGCAGGCCCCAGTAACTTCGCAAGACCCTCAGCAATTTAGTCAGAAACTGTCTCAAAATAAAAAAATAAAAAGGGCAGGGGATGCGGCTCAGTGGTTAAGTATCCCTGGGTTCAATCCCTTGTACCAAAAAAAAAGTAATAATGGTTTAAAAATATAAGGGAATTTAATTAGCTAGCACTGGCATTGGTATTGAAAAAATTTAATCTGTTATATTTCTTAGATTAGTTAAGTGATTTTATTAACGTTATCAATAATATTTAATGGATAAAAAAGAACAGGTTCTGTAACTAATAAATTCAATAAATATATTAAAATACAAGTAACAAAGTATTCCTTAATACTAACACACATTCAATGCCTCTTTAGACATTAAAAAATCCTACCCTCAAAAAAAATTTTTGATTCTATTGCATATGAGTAAAGTAAAATGAAAGAATAATTATGAATCATTATGTTTCCTTTTCTTCATACTTATTCAAAAAGAGAGGCAAAAGCAGAGATGGAGTATTCAGTATGAGACGTTTTGTTAGTCCCACCAACTGGAAGTCACTCTGGAGACCACAGCACTACTCCTGTGAAGTCTGTACTACCTTGCAAATTAAAACTACACTGAGATTTTATTTCATTCCAGACAGAATGGCAATTATCAAGAATATAAGAAACAATAAATGTTGGCAAGGATGTGGGGTAAAGGGTAAACTCATACATTGCTGGTGGGACTGTAAATTGTTGCAATTACTCTAGATTCCATACAAAACTCGGAATGAAACCACCATTTGACCAAGTTATCCCATTCCTTGGTTTTATGCCCAAAGAACTTAAAACCAGCATACTACAGTGACACTGCCACATCAATGTTTACAGCAGCTCAATTCACAACAGCCAAGCTATAGGACCAACTTAGGTCCCCTTTAACAGATGAATGGATAAGTGTCCATACTACTACTGTGAAACAGCCATGTCCCCACCATTRTTTGAAATAAATAGTACTTGATCTCAAGAAGACTTTTCTTACAATGATAACTGTTCCAACAATTAAATCAAAAGGGAAAATATATGCCTGATTCAGAAACCCCCTGAAGTCCAGCCAAGTTTTTAAAATCCTTTAATAAAAATGCCAAGATTCTGGCCAAGGTAAGTGGCACATAGCTGTAATCCCAGGAGGCTCAGGTAGGAGGATCACAAGTTCAAAGCCAGCCTCAGCCAAAGCAAGGTGCAAAGCAACTTAGTGAGAACCTGTCTCTAAATAGAATTTTTTAAAAGGGGCTGGAGATGTGGCTCAGTGGTTGAGAGACCTTGAGTTCAATCCCTGGTACCTGCACCCCCACCACACACACAAAAAAAAGACAAGAGTCTGGAAAGAGATAGATATACACTATAAGGTGGTAACAAGTATATAAATATAAATTTGAAAGAATAAATGCCATAGCAAATACTTTAAAAATCTTAAAAGAGTTTTCTTACAAAACTAAACATACTCTTATCATATGATCCAGCAACTGCACTTCTTGGTATTTACTCAAAGAAATAGAAAACTTACACCCAAGCAAAATTTTTGCAGAGATATTCCGAGCAGCTTTATTCATAATTGCAAATATCTGGAATCACCAAGATGTCCTTCAACAGGTAAATGGATTAAAAAAATGGTACCTATCAACCATAAATTTTTATGCACCACTAAAAAGAAATGAGCTATCAAACCATGAAAAGACATRGAGAAACCTTAAATGCATTATTATTAAGTGAAAAAAGCCAGTCTAAAAAGGATACATACTGCATGGTTTCAAGCATGTGACATTCCGGAAAAGTAAAACTACGGAGAACAGTAAAATGATCAGTGGTTGCTAGGAATTTTGGAATAGGGAGGGATGAATAGTTAGAGCACAAAAGATTTTAAGGAAATAAAAACAATCTGTATAATATTATAATGATGGATRCATGTCATTATTCATTTGTCCAATCCTGTAGAATATAATAACAAGAGAGGACCTTAATGTAAACTACAGACTTTGGAGGATTATAATGTATCAATGTAAATTCATCAATTATAACAAATGTACCAGTATGATAGGTGATGTTGATAACAGGGCACACAGTAAATACATAGGGGTAGGGTTCTATGAAAAATCTCTATACCTTCAGCTCTCCTTTGCTATGAACCTAAAACTGTACTAAAAAAAAAAAAAAAAAATTAACTCTTTTGTCTTCAAGGTTTCAAAAGAGGAAAAAGTTGCAATCTTTTAAGAGGATAAGGAAAAAAGGCATCATAAAAGATGTAAAGACAAACACTGAGAAGTCGATAAGCTTCAAGAGGATGATATTTATGAGACAAATAATATACTACATATCTAAATGGCCAAAAGACATGTTATCTGTGTGTAAGCAGCCTCCAAGATAAGGCTGGAAATAGGAGCTATACTGTGGAAAACCTTGTACTTAATTTGCTTGGCTCTAAGAAACCAATGAAAGCTTCATAGTACAAAACTACTATATGACTACGGGATTGTTGAAAACATTRACTGGTCAAAAGTATGTAAGAGAGACTGAACAACATATCTAATTTTAGCTATCCCTCATTATTCCCTATTTTTAATCATACTTGTAATTTCTCATTCTCAGTTTCTATATCTATATGAGAAATTTTTAATAATTTATTTCAAAAATATTAGCTCTTACACCCTAGGGAAAATAGCAAATTTCATAAACATACTCTTTGTGCTATTATMTAAGTCATTAATAATCTTAGCCTGAAGTAAATTCTATGGAACTCAACATTCTGATCTCTCTATGATAGTAAATTGTATAAATTAATCTTTGAGAACACGTCTTTAAATTCGCTATAAACCTTATCCTGTCTTAAAAGTGACTCTCCAGCTATGAATTTTATCTTTTAGCATCAAAGAAGTATCATGGATATATAAGTACTTTTATTGATTTAAATATTTTCTTCATTTACTTTTTATGTCTGAGGAAGTGTGCCTGCCTCAGTCTTTCTTTTTTTTTTTTTATTATCTGTGAATAGTATTATTCTTTTTTTTTATTGTTGGTTGTTCAAAACATTACATAGTTCTTGATATATCATATTTCACATTTTGATTCAAGCAGGTTATGAACTCCCATTTTACCCCGTATACAGCTTGCAGAATCACATCAGTTACACTTCCATTGATTTACATATTGATATACTCATGTCTGCCTCAGTCTTTCAATTTACAAAGTTGTGCTGATGACATGAAGTACCTAAAGGAATATTGTGAAAACTAAGTGAGTTAATTCATCTAACCTCTCAACACTGTATTGCATCAATCTCAGCCCTTCAACTTCTATATACATGATTATTTCACACAGCATTGTGAATTTAAATACTATTATGCTAATAAGTACCAAATTTCTATCTGCAATTTAGGCTCCTCCCACTATCCAACTGCCCACTCAATATCTCTACTTTTTCCTCATCTAAAGAGTATCCAAACTCAATATATCTGAAACAGGCCTCTATCTTCACCCCAAAACCTACTGTTCCTTTCTTCTACAACTCAAATAATGGCTACCCTATTCTTTCAACTGCTCAAGCTAAAGACTGCTTTGCCTCCTCTCTTTAGTCATTACCCATCTAGTACATCCTAATATAAACCACCATGAAAATAAAAATCCTTATAGCTCTCCTTTCAAAATAAAGAGAAATACACACACACACACACACACACACACACACACACACAATCACTTCAACCCATCTCCTTAGCTACTACTTTGGTCAAAGTTATTATCATTTTCTTATCTATATTATCGCAAGAGCCTACACCTGAACTCCACCTTCTGTCCTTACTCTCATTTGATCTATTTTTAACACAGGCAGGCCAGTGCTATCAAAAAATACTCTCTGCTCAAAAACCCTTAATAGCTTCTCATCTCAAACAGCATAAAACCTCCTTCCTTACTATATTTTTTCAAAATCTGACATGATCTGGCTTCCCACAGTCTCCAACCTGGATCCCCTAATCTTTCCCTCTCTCTCATTCATTCCACTTCAGTAGCACTGATCTCCTTGCTGTTCTTCCTACACATCAGACAAATTATATCTTAGGGCCTTCTAATTCTTTATTACCTATACCTAGATAGCTCTTCACTCAGATACACAGACACACTCCTTCACTTATTTCCAATCTTTGCATCAATGTCACTTACTCAATTAGAATTGGCCCATGTACTCAACCTGCTCAAAATCTCCACTACATTCCACAGAATGTATAATTTCCTAATATGTTGTATCATATTTTTAGCTATTATTTTATTGTCTCTCCATCTCTACCAAATGAAACTGACATGCAGATAAGTGTTTTTATCTGTTTTGTATTGTAGATAAAGAACAAGAACAAAATAATTTGCCTTGTATGGAATGGATATCCAATTGAAATCTCTAACTCTGTAGGAAAGAATTTATGGATCAGTTTGACTTACATAAGGTCAAGCAACAGAGTCTAAAACAAAAACAGCTCTCCTTGGTCCTAGGTCTAGGCTTTATTCTAACAGAGAAATATTGGTGAAATGGAAGAGAATGCATATGAAAATAAAATTTAAAAAACAAGTGAACAAATATAYACATATAAACACAGACACAGATACTAACATATCTCAAATTAAAATATGGCCACTGAAAATTAATAATATATTATATGCTAGCAAATAAACTTTTATTACTTACCTCTACCCCAGATTTTTTTAATGATATCTGTGTTTCAGTTTCTTTGAATTTATTTGCCTTTTCAAGTTGGGCTTTAAGTTGTTCAGCTAATTCCTTCAAAAAGAAAAATAAGCAAAATAGTTATGATATGTCATTTAATTCTTCATTACAGAATTTTATATAGCAGAAAACAGCGTAATAAAACCCTATGTAACCAATAGCRAATTTCAATTACCAATTCACAGCCTAATACATAACATTTTAATGAACTTATTTCAGTTACAAACTTCTCAAGTACCTATGGCATTTGTTTACAATTTGAAGGTAAACCATTTTAAAGACATACATTTTGAGGGAGACAGGATAATGAAAGAAATATGTAACCTCAAGAATGAAGTTTTTATAATTCCTTAGATATTAAAGCTTTCAATACTTAAAAAATCAGTTACTTGCTACAAGGAAGTCATCATGACATTTAAAATACTGTTTTCTTCATTGTTATAAGTAATATGATAAAAATTATGAATATATTTCATTTTTACTCTAAAAAATTACTATAGAAATTTATAAAACACCTAACATAGAAAGCAACAAACCATAAACTAGCAAATTAAATAATAAATTTATGTGACTCATAAGATCAATTAAAGATCACTTAAGTATTTGAGTTTAAGATGAGTACACACACATTACCAAAAGTGAATCTACTGTGTCAGAGAGTGGAAAGTTCTGCTGTTCTACCATGTGCAATAACACAAGTAAGTACAATAGTACAACATTCATAATGAATGAACGAATGAATGAATGAAAACAGCTCTTATCAAATCATCACTATTTCTATTTAATTTGAGGTAAATCGATCTTAAACATATTACAGAAATTAAATGAGTTAAACTATACAAAGTATCTAACACAGTATCAACTACAAACATATTACCTTAAACTTTGAATAAATGAATTAATCACTTATTTAAGATTTCAATTTTTATGTTCTAGGTAAAATGGTTTTGTTATGAGAATTTTTAATAAATAACTAAAAATGGGAAAGAAAATAGTCATACCTTTAACTCTTCCAAATACATTCCATAATTACAAGAATATAGCAAACAGAAAAGTAAATAAATAAAAATTTCAGAAATCTGATAGAGAAAGTAGATAATTTATTTATAAGATAGTACTATTTCTAGAAAGGTTTAAGAATTTCTTCAAGGAATAAATAAATAGCAGTTATTTTGAAAGTCTGCTACATCCCCACTGCTGAGGAATTACCCAAATTACTTACAAGAAGTTAAATATTTAATCACTACCCTCCAAAAAAAAAAAAAAAAAGATATTTAAGAGTCTTACCAAATTCCCCATCATCTCTGCCTTGATAATTCTGGCACCCAACTTGTTCTTCTCATCCATACTCAGGATGTGGATGGACTCATCCTTCGGACTGCCATTTGAATAGAACAAACAAAGAGCAAATGAAATACAGGTGCAACTCCAATATTATTTTAACTGACCTCAACAAAGTATTCAGCACCTATAGGAGATCATGACTCTCAGGTTTAAAAATTAGATTCAATGTGCTACTTAATATTTCAAGGTTCTCTGTCACAAACCCATGATGGCTTATGGCAGATATAATAACAGAAAAAAGTTCCAGTAACAATGAGGTAAATGATATAAAAATCAACCATTCTTCATTATTTAATATTTCCATACTCATTGTAAAAAAAACAAATACTAGAATCAGGCCACAATTCTACATATCTTGGCAAAAGCCTATTATTCAATGTAATATTATTAATACTTTAAGATACTAATAATCTGGAAATGATACTTTTAACCATAGTCAAGAATAAAAACAATAATCACATTTTCTTTTTCAAAGTCAGTCCAGAATTAGACACATAAACTAAAAACTGAGGTCATATGACAAACCAATACTATAAAAGCTTCATAAAAGAAAAAAGAAAGTTCCAGTCAAGCTCATATTCCCCCAGCTTACTGCCTTAAGAAAGATTCAAGGTTGCAGGACAGGGAAGGTAGACCCAGGCAGAACCCAACAAAAGGAGAAATAGCTCAAATCCAAGAATTACAAAGCAGCCACTGTTACTGAATAAAATACCTGAGGGGCGAAAGAATCCCAGAGAGTTCACCTAAGTATTTAGGAAGAAAATACTTATAGCCAAGGAAAGAACTATCCTAAAGGAATGGAAGGACAGTATTTGGCACTCCTGGGAAGTGTCTGGTTCCACTACCCAAAGTAGGAAACCTCCTAATTCTGAAAGTAGTAGGTAGAGGATTATGGATCTTGCTTCATCTATGGGAAATACAAGCCTTAGAAGAAATGCTGCTTTGGGCCCAACTAACAAATGTGAAAATAAAGAACCAAAAAGATCAAATGGTTTCCAATTAACCATGACCCAGAACAAAGTACGAAAACATTTATAGAAATTCAAAAATACCCAGCGCTCAACAAGAATTTGTAATACCTAGTATCCAAATATTATAACATACAAATAAGCAGAAAAATATAACCTAAAATTAGAAGTAAATACTATCAATCAGAAACAATCCAGAACTGACACAGATGTAAGAAACAGCAGGCAAGGATATTTAAAGTTATTATAACTGTGTTTAAAAATTAGAGATAATAAGGATATTAAAAATACACAAATTGAACTTCTACAGAGAAAAACTATATATCTGAGGTAAAAATACACTGGACAAGATTAATGAAAACCAGACTGTAAAGGAATAGTTAACTTGAAGCAATGGAAATAATGCAAAATGAAACATACAGGGGAAAAAAGAACTAAAAAAATGAAAAAAGCCAATCATACATGAGATTGGAGTCCCTAAAAGAAACGAATAGAAGATATAAGAAACAAAGGCCCAAATTTTCCAAATTTGTTGAAAACTAAGAAGCCAAAGAATTTGAAAGAAAACTACATRAGAAAAATGACACCAAGACACATCATAATCAAACTGCTCAAAAGTAGTGACAAAAACATCTGAAAGCACTATAGAAAAACACATCATTTGTGCCCATAGAAACAAGATTGCTATGACRGCTTTCTCTTTAAAAACAATACAATCAAGGAAAGGATCAACATCTTTAAAGTACTTTAAAACTGTCAACCTAGAATTCCACACCCAGAGAAAATACACAAAAGGGAAATAAGGACTTTTTGGACATAAAAAWGCTGAAACAATGCTAAAGAAAAACCTTCAGGAAGAAGAAAAAATAGAAGACTGAAATATGGATCAACCCAAAGCAAAAAAAAAAAAAAACAAACAGAAATGACTAGAGTAAATATATATGATTTTTCTGTTACCTAAGTCTCTTTATAAGAGAGCTATTTAAAGAAAAATAACAATCTATTGAGGCTTTAAAAGTTCAAATAAAATGTATGGTAACACTAGCAGAAAGGACAGTTTATACTATAACTCTAGTATAAAGTTCATATACCATTCAGGAGCAGATATATATAATATAGCAATAAAAGAAATGAAGTGGAATTAAAAATATTCAATCCAAAAAAATTAAGAGAAAAAAAAACAGATGGACAAATAACAAAATTACAGGTATGAACCTAATTACAGGTTACAAATCCCTAATCAGAAAATCTGAAATCCCAAGTACTCCAAAATATGAAATTTCTTGAGCACCAACATGATACCACAAATAGAAAATTCCACACCTAACCTCATATGACAAGGTTGCATTCAAAATGCAGGCATATTAAAAATATTATAGAAAGTTACCATCAAGATATATATACAAAACATAAATGAATGTTATATTTAGATTTGGGTCCTATCCCCAAGTTATCTTATTATATGTATGTAAATACTCCACAATAAAGAAAAAAAATTCAAAATCAAAAACATTCCTAGTCCCAACCATTTCAGGTAAGGGAAACTTATCTGAAATACATACAATCAAGATAAACTTAAGTCACAAAACCAGTCTCAATATATCTAAAATAATAATAACACTACAAATTAATGGTCTAAACACCTACATTAAAAAGCAGAAATTTTTATAGATAAAAAAGAAAAAAACTATAAAAAATGTTTTATAAATATAAAGATATTAACCTTTATCTTATTATTATTATTATTATTATTATTATTATTTTGGTGGTGCTGAGGATTGAACCCAGGGCCTTGTGCATATGAGGTAAGCACTCTAACAACTGAGCTATGTCCTCAGCCCCCAAAATATAAAAGGATAAATATGTTAAACACAAAAGGATAGAAAAAGATATTCCATGTTAATATTAGTCAGTGTGGTGCACACCTGTAATCCCAGCAGCTCAGGAGACTGAGGCTAAGTAAACTAGCAAGTCTCTGTCTCTAAATAAAAATATTTTTTAAAAAGGAGCTAGGGATGTGGCTCAGTGGTTAAGCATCCCTGGGTGGGTGTGTGTGTGTGTGTGTGTGTGTGTGTGTGTGTGTGAATATAAAACCAGGGACTTAAAAGGATGACTTCATAAGAAAAAGGGTTGACACATGAAGAGTTCATATGAATCCTTAAATGACTATGTACTTAATAACAGAGCTTTAAATTATATGAGGCAAAGACCAACAGAACTATTTAATACAAATTACAGTTGTATATTCAACATCTCTCTCCCAATACTTCACAGAATAAATAAAATCAGGAAGAACATGGAAGACTTGAATAACACTACCAACTAAATAATATTATAGACATTTAAAAATGTCCAACAATATTAGTAGATGTTCTGGTTGGATCTGAACATGCCCCAAAGGCTCATGTATTTACAGTTCAGTCTCCAGTGCAGCAATGTTCAGAGGTGAGGCTTTTGGGAAATGACTGGATCATAAGGCCTCCGATCTTATCAACGGATTAACCCATTGATGGGTTTATAATTTGATGTCATTATTGAGAGGTGGTGAAAACTGTAGGAGGTATAACCTAGTTGAAGGGAGTTTATACTTGGGGATTAATCTTGTCCCTGGTCCCTTCCACACATACTCCCTACTGTGAGGTGAACAGCTTTCTTCCAGCACACCCTTATCTCACCTCAGGTCCAAAGCAATGGAGCTAGCTGACCATGGACTGAAATCTCTGCAATTGTAGCCAAAAATCGATCTTTCCTCCTTTAAATAGTTTTTGTCTGCTATTCTGTCACAGAAATTTTAAAAAACATAGAAAACACATTCTTTCCAAGTACATACAAAACATCAATCAAGATAAACAAACCTAAGGCACAAAATCAGTTTCAATATATCTAAAAAATCAGGTCATAGGGCTGGGGTTGTAGCTCAGTGGTAGAGCACTTGCCTTGCATGTATGAGACCCTGGGTTCGATCCCCAGCACCACATAAAAATAAACAAAGACATCGTGTCCATCTTCAACTAAAAAAGTATTTAAAAAAAGAATCAGGTCATATAAACTATGTTTTCTGACCACAATTAAATTAAATTAGAAATATTTAATAAGTATATCTGAAAAATCCTCAATTGAAAACTGAATAGCAAATAACCAGTGGGTCAAGAAAGAAATCAATGGGAAATAAAAAGTATTATGAACTGAACAAAATTACAAATATAATATATCGGAATATGTAGGATAYTGCTAAAGCATCATTCCAGGAAATTCTATAGCAATAACTTATATCAGAAAATTATATTTAAGCCTATATCTTAATTAAAGTCAAAGTAAACAAAACTTAAGAAATAATAAAAACCAGGGTAGAAATAAATAGAAAGCAGAAAAACAATAAGGAAACTCAAGGAAGCCAAAAGTTGCTGTCTTAAGACAATCAATAAAACTAATAAACTTCTCGCCTCTGATTAGGAAAATAAATACAAAATGTCAACAGAAAAATAAGAGATAATATCACTCACAGTTTAAGCACTTTACAAAAAGATAGGCAGATGGCAAATAAGCACTTAAAGAGATGTTCCACATCAAGAGTCATTAGKGGGATACAAATTAAAACTACAACAAGATACCATTACACAACCAGTCAAAATCAAAAGACTGACCATTCCAAGTTCTTATAAGAACATAAAGATCCTGGAACTCTCACACCCCTCATATTGTTGGTAGTAATTTTAACCAATAAAACTACAAAASAGCTTAGCACTTTCTTAATATTTAAACATAGCAAAGGCCATATGATCTAGCTGTTACTTTCCTAGGCAATTACCCAAAAGAATAGCATATGTACATGAAAGTTCAGAGGAGCCTTGTTTGTAATAGTCAAAAACCATAAACAATCTAAATACACATCAACAGGAGAACAGATAACCCAAATTGTGGTATATACAACAATAGTGTAGTATCCATGCACCAAAAAATACATAAACTATTAATACATGTACTAACATGGATAAAGTGCTACTAAGAAAAAGTCAGACTTCCCTCCTTCCACAAAAGAATGCATAATGTATGATCTCATTTACAT